CCACTATTGCGTTGAAGACCCAACTGAGCATTTCCCATGCTGCACCTGGAGCTTTCTTTGGATTCGAAAGCTCCATAGCCGTCTTCAGTTCCTCAGGCACGGGTAAATTGACCTCCCTCAGATCAATTCGATTGGCCTTGTCGAATGAAGCTGGGAAGTCACTCCAGTCCCACTCTGCTGCAGGACCATGTGGGGAAAAATATACAACAACCAAGAAAGACAGGAAAGACTCCCCTAGGGCTTGTATTTCAGCAGTAACTACAAATCACTCATACTGAGTGCGCTGGGCCTGCAATAACTCTTCTATGATCACGGCGATGGGATCTTGACGGCCAATAAAAGGTCTCACCATCTTCAAGCAAAGAGAACTCCAGAGCCCGAGAGAGAAAACAAGAGCTGTAAAATAATTGAATGGCCGTACCTAATTTCAAACTCCCAAAAACTTAAACACCAACCAATGGCTGAAACTTTCCCAGTTAATAACTCTTCATCCACAACTCCGATCGACTTGATTTTACCACCAAAGAACTGCCCTTGATCAGATCTTCAACTTCATAGAAAACAACTTCTTCAAATTCTCACTTTTGAAATCCGTCACTTTTTCTCTCTCTAGACGAAATATTCATAGGAAGCTTCTTCAGCGAGCTTCTTCATTTTTCACCTTTTTTCTAACTCAGAAATACGTCAGACTCACAAAAGCAACCTCAAGTATGAAAATACGACCGTATATATGGTTGACACCATACCACCCTGATACTCGCGCCGCCCTCGGCACGCTGACTGCCATTAACCACTGACTTCTTGACTGGTTCAAACCCAACTCTGTTACACTTTCCTCTGACACTGCTCAACTCAGCTCCATTTGACTTCTCACACGGCGACACTCTGCCTCTTTCAACTCTCTTCTCCTACACTATTGCTGAGCTCGCCTCCACCGACGTCTACAGCCTCCACAAATAAATCCTCCTGGCGCTCCACACCTGAACTCATAAAATCTCCCCCTTCAGCTGCTCCTCTCAAGGATGTGCAGCTAACTCTACCTGCGTCTTCTACGCTTGTTCTTAAATGAAAACGCCAACATACCTCCATTCGATTCTGGAATTTCCCATTCAGCTACAACCACTGCTCTCAGGTGGCCTCAGCTCTGGTCATCCTCGACTCTGATTCGGATGGCTCCAACACATTGGACTCTCGCTCAGCTCCGGCTGTTTCAACATTTGAACGTGGATGGTACTTCTTCAATCGGAAACCATTGATCCGCGTTGGCAGCAGGTTCCCACTCAAATCTGCCACCTGCACTGAGCCATTGTCGTTGACATTCACCACCACGTAAGGGCCCAGCCACCGTATCTTGAGTTTTCCTGGCCGCTTCCAAAACTTGCTGTCATACAGCAACACCAAATCCCCTATTGCAAACTTCCACTCTCGAATGTGATCATCATGCCATTTCTTTCTCCGCTTCTGCAATGCCTCTCTAGCTTGGAATGCCAGCAGCCTCGTCTCATCCAATCGTTCTAGCTCGTTCAGCCTCTGCTGTATGGCACCATCCCAGTCCATAGCATGCTCTACAGCCGTCCTCAAGGCTGGAACTTCAAGCTCCACCGGCAATAGTGCTTCCTGCCCATAAACCAACTGAAAAGGTGAGAACCGAGTGGTCACCTTAAAAGCAACTCGATATGCCCAAACTGCATCCAAAAGGCGCTTATCCCAATCCGTCCGAGAAGCTGAGCAGGTCTTAGTAACAATCCAGCAAAGAGTTCCATTTGTACGCTCCACTTGACCATTGCAACGCGGGTAGTAAGGAGTAGACTTCGAGTGATAAACTCCATAAGTTTCTGTCAGTGCTACCACTGCCTCGTTCAAGAAGTGTGTACCCTGATCACTCACCAGTTCAAGGGGAACTCCAAACCGTGTAATTATCTGCTCATAAAGAAACTCCGCAACCTTCTTACCAGTATCCTCCCGTAGAGCCTTCACCTCAGACCATTTTGTAATGTAATCAGTGCAGACCAGTACATACTTATAACCTGTCTGTCGAGCTGGAGGAAACGGTCCGCAAAAATCAATCCCCCATTTTTCAAACGGCATCACTGGCAATAGTGGATGAAGAGGCTGGTAGTCACGCTTATCAGGCTTCCCTGCTCGCTGACAAGGGTCACAGGTTTTGACGTAGTACGTAACCTCCTTCCTCAATGTCGGCCACCAATATCCAGCTCTGCAAATAATCTCCATCGTTGCTTCTGTTCCAAAATGGCCTCCATATGCCGAGTCATGGCATGCCGCTATCACCTTAGTCGTCTCATGTGGTAGCAAACACCGCCTCAGTACGCTATCTCGTCCAATCCGGTATAATACACCGCCAACCATCGTATAGAGTCGGCTCTGCAACAGAAGCCGTCGCTTCTGCCGGTTATTCAACCCTGCCGGATACTCGCCATTGCCAAGGAACTTAACCATCTCGGCATACCAGTCCGGCACTGTTTCAAATTGGAAGATAGGTGCATCTGGCAAATCATCCTCTACGCCTACTTCCTCATCACTGTCCTGTGGTGGCAGCCTCGATAAGTGATCCGGCATCTGATGGCTGCTTCCAGGTTTTAACACAATCCGGAACTGAAATTCCTGGAGCAGCAACAGCCAACGTGTGATTCTTCCCGTCTTGCATGGCTTCCCTATTAAATACTTCAATGCCTGATGATCGAGGAAAAACACGAACTCCTTGCCGAGTAGATAATGCCGATATTGCTGGATCGCATAGATCATGCCGAGTCCTTCCCTCTCAGTTGCTGAATAGCTCTTCTCAGCCGTTGAAAGTTGACGGCTGCTGTAACATATTGGATGATCTGCTCGTCCATCTGAGCGTTGACACAGCACCACACCAATGGCCACTGCTGATGCATCCACATGAACGTGAAACTCCAGGTTCCAATCTGGCATCTTCAAAATCGGCGCGTTTACCAGTGCCAGTTTCAAGCGTTGGAAGGCTGCCTCACATGCAGCTGTCCACTCATATTTAGCCCCCTTCTTCAGCAGGCTAGTCAAGGGTAGAGCTTTCTCAGCAAAGTTCCTCACGAAACGGCGGTGATATCCCACATGCCCAAGAAATGCTTGCAATTGCTTCACAATCTCTGGTGACACCAGCTGCATGATCACTTGCGTCTTGGCCAGATCGACAGCTAAGCCTTCTCTTGACACTATCCGACCCAGCAGCACTCCATGCGTTACCCAGAACTGACACTTGAACGGGTTGAGAGAAATCCCATAGTGCCGACAGCATTCAAAACACTTCTCGAGCAGGCCTTCATGCGCCAACTCGCTCCCATAGACACTGAAGTCGTCAAGGAATACTTCCATAAACTCTCGCATGTACGGCTGGAAAGCTGCTGTGACGACCCGCTGAAAGGTAGCAGGTGCATTACACAGGCCGAAGGGCATAACTTTGTAGGCGTAGCAGCCCCACTCAGTCACAAACGTGGTTTTGAGCTGATCCTCTTCTGCTATCTGCACCTGGTTATAGCCGCTGAATCCGTCGAGGAAGGAATAAAGCTCGTGTCCCGCCACAGCATCAAGTACCGTGTCAGTAAAGGGCAGAGGGAAGCCATCCTTCTCAGTCACCTCGTTCAGCTTCCAGTAATCCACACAGACTCGCAGCTGGCCATTCTTTTTTGGCACCACCACAATCGGAGACAACCACTGGCTCGTTTCCACCTCGTAAATAAACCCAGCTCGCAGCAACTTCTCCAGCTCCTCTCGAACAGTCTTGGAGTAATTCGGGTTCATCCTATATGGCCGCTGCCGAATAGGCACTGCTCCTGGCTTGAGAATGATCCGGTGCTGAGCCAGCTTCACATCCACACCTCGCATGTCTCTATAAGACCATGCAAACACGTCGAGGTACCTGTAAAAGAGGCGCCTCAACCTCTCCTTAACTTGGACCGGCAAGTCAGCTCCGACCTTCACCACCTTTTCCTCCTCGGCTGATCCGAGGTTCATCTCTTCGACAATCGGCTGAGCTGTGTATCGGCTACTACCTTGTCCTCCAGGCTGGATCGCTGGCTCTTCATCAATCTCTGGAACGGAACCATCTATAACTTCGGAATAAAAATGGCGGGGAAACTGCTGCAGTCGTTCCTGCTCCACTACTGGCTCCAAGTCCTCGACCTGAACCATTCCACAGCTCACATCACCACCAAACAACCAATGCTTGAGTCGATCGCTCGCTGTTCCATCTTCAAAAGGTGACAGCAGCAGGGCGTTGTAACCAGAGCAGGGCTCCACAGCTGCAACCTCCACTGAACTCTCATCATTCGACCGACTCTGCTCTGAACACACCTCACTCATATGCTCTCCTGCTTCTGATCCAGTCGTGGTATCACTGCTGTCATCAATCCCATCCACTATCGGCTCACACGCTACTGGAGTCCAGGCCGGCCTCTTCCTCGTCCGAACTTGGATAGTGCGCGACTTGTTTCCATCTCCAATCGTAATAGTCCCCTTCGGCCAACTCTGATCTGCCCAGGCCTGCAACAGCCACGGTCTTCCCAAAAGAATTGGATAATCCAGCTCGTGTCCAACCATCCTCAGCACCACGTAATCAACATAAAAGATAAAGCCGGCAATCTCCGTCTTCACCCCAGTAAGTACACCAACCGGTCTCGAGCGAGAATGGTTTGCCATGCGGACACGAAAATAAACTGGAGACGGCTGCTCCAACCCAAGTTTCGACACCATTTGCTCAGGCATTACGTTGATGGCAGCACCTCCGTCAATCACGCACCCCTTCAAGTGTTGACCTGAAATCTCTGCATCTATAATTGGATTCTCTGCTTCGATCATTGGCCATGCTGCATTCACTACCACCTCTCAATGGGCCTTGACTGCTGTGGCCACCACTTTCCTTAGACTTGGTGCCAGCTGTAGTAATTGCGCAAATGTGATACTCGGCTTCTGATTCTCTAAGTCCTTGAGCACGTCGTAGGGCTGAGTTTCTAGATTTAGCACCTGCTTATACCGGCGAGATCTCCGCTGGCCCATCTTTAACGGCTCACCCCCAAAATGTTCCTTGAATACCTCTGCCAGCCCTGCAGCGTCGAGATGCCCACCTTCTTCATAACCTCTTGCGGATCCATTCCACCACTTACCTGGTTCGCGTCCATTTCCTTGCCGTCATTAGGGCACTGAATAGTCCCCGTGATATTCTTGGCGAGATCTCCGCCATCGGCTATCAGCGCATCCTGAATGCCGCCTCCTTCCAGACCTAAGTCGATCCCCATTTTTTCCTTGTGGCGCTGCTCCTTCCTGTTTTGGCGAGCTATCATCTCTGGATCCTCCTGAGTATGCATCTGCTCAATTCCCTGTTCAGCCCTTGTTCTCGGCTCATCTCGGATGTACAACCCGCGGTCCCTCCGCTGCAACTGTGCTCGTGTGTTGACATTCCACACAGGTGTGTCCGCTCGTAACTCTTCAGAATTCACGAAAATGGCTTTAGTATCCACCACCTCTTTTCCCTTTTCCTGATTTTGGCGCTGATTTGGCACTTGCAAGCGGTAGGGGCAATCCTCCTGCCGATGAAGTCCCTGTGTCTGGCATATCCCACAGATTGGCTGATACTCTTCAGACTTCTGTGCATTCGGACAGTTTGGCGTGATATGTCCAGGTTCCCCACACTGGTAGCACACTATCGGGCCTCGGCCTCGGCCTCCACCTCTGCCTCCGAACATTCCCATCTGGCCACCACCACGGCCTCCACCGGCAGTCTGCTGCAGCATTGGCCCCGAGTTCTGCACAGCCCCTGGAGCTCCTACGTTAAAAACCGGGTACGTCTCATACTGCTGGTGCTGAACCTGCTGCTGTGGAAATTGTTGTTGATGGTGAAATTGTGGTTGAATGTAATAGCTTGCGACTACAGGTTGCTGCTGGAACTTGGGCGTCACACGAGCTGGATGAAAAAAGCACTTCTCAGGCTTGTGGCCGAACTTCCCACAATACGGACAAGGAGCTTTTGCCGGAACCAGATTTGGACACTCACTAGGATAGTGGCCATATCCTTGACACTTAATGCACCAGATCTCAGCTCTCTCATGCACCGGCCGAGTTGGAGCTCCCAAACCTTGAACCAGACTCACTTGGAGTTCCGCCATCTTCTTGGTAAGTGTCTCCACCACATCTTCTTTCACTTTCGTGAGTTGGCTCTCAAATCCGGTCGTGTTTACTGCAGGTAACTGGAGAACTGACGGCTGGACCGGAATCAAAGGTGGAGCTGCTACGGCTCCAAGCACACCAGTCTGGTACTGTGCAATATTCGGTGAGAACAAGTTACCATATGTTACTGGTGGAGCTGCAGCTGCAATATTTCGTGACGACATCCGGGCCTGTTCCCATGTTGCTGCGTGCTCCACTGCTGCGTTCAAATCTGCCGGTCTTTGCACCTTCACGTGGAACCCGATTTCAAATGGCAACCCATTCAAGAACCAGCGGACTTGGTCGTCAGCGGCAGGCTGTGGATCTTTCCTCGCGAGCAGCCTCTTGTAGCGAAGAACATAATTTTGCAATGTCTCTCCAGGTAACAATTGAATTGAATTTAGCTCGTCACTGATACGCTGCTTGAATCCCATAGGACGGAAAGCATTAAGAAATGCTGTTTTGAGGTCTGCCCAGGCTGCAAAGGCTGCTGCTGCATTCGCCTGACCATACCATTCTGCTGCCGCTCCCAGCAATGTCGCCGGAAACAGACGGACTCTCACAGCATCTGCCTGCTCCTGATTTGCTGTGCTGACGTTTTCAAAAGCAGTTACGTGAGCGTCTGGATCGTCAGTCTGTGTAAACGTTGGATACTTCATCCTCGCGTTGGCAGGCTGTGCCATTTGAGGATTTACTGCTTGAGGTGTGGGCGATGCTGGTTCAAATGGCCCCCACTCCTCCCAATTCAAACTTGAGTCCGAAGTCCTCGAACTAGTTTCAGGGCTGGTTTCAGGCGAATTCTGCAACAGCCTCCTCGCTGCTCGTTCAGAACGGCCTCGATTCTGCTCTGCCCTCCTAGTAGAAAAATCTAGAAAATTATCCCAGCCCGGGGATCTACCCGCCAGACCGAGAACCAACTGCGGCAAAGGGTACTTACTGCAGATGCCCGCAGATGACCGGCCTTTTCCTCAGGCCCAGTTTACTGCGCAGTTACTGCGACTAAGCCCTCCCTGCTAATGCACCAAAAAATGTGGGGAAAAATATACGACAACCAAGAAAGACAGGAAAGACTCCCCTAGGGCTTGTATTTCAGCAGTAACTACAAATCACTCATATTGAGTGCGCTGGGCCTGCAATAACTCTTCTATGATCACAGCGATGGGATCTTGACGGCCTATAAAAGGTCTCACCATCTTCAAGCAAAGAGAACTCCAGAGCCCGAAAGAGAAAACAAGAGCTGTAAAATAACTGAATGGCCGTACCTAATTTCAAACTCCCAAAAACTTAAACACCAACCAATGGCTGAAACTTTCCTAGCTAATAACTCTTCATCCACAACTCCGAGCGACTTGATTTCACCACCAAAGAACTGCCCTTGATCAGATCTTCAACTTCATAGAAAACAACTTCTTCAAATTCTCACTTTTGAAATCCGTCACTTTTTCTCTCTCTAGACGAAATATTCATAGGAAGCTTCTTCAGCGAGCTTCTTCATTTTTCACCTTTTTTCTAACTCAGAAATACGTCAGACTCACAAAAGCAACCTCAAGTATGAAAATATGACCGTATATATGGTTGACAGACCAATAACAAGGGCGAGTGTGAAGATGCGGACATTCGTCGGTATCTTCTTCTTAGCCATTATCCCATGGATCTCCCGCATCTCCTTGCCTTTCAACCGAGCCTTCACCTCGTTCAAGGCCTTCTAGAACTTGTGATAGGATTCGGAGTCGTAGATCATATAGTGGACTGAAGATTCCACCTCCGCAAGTCCCACCATTAAGTCAATGATGGAGCTGACTTCGTCTGCATGAGTGATCTCCTCGTTTGTGAAGTCCATCACACAAAAGATGTTCTTGACCTGCTCATCTCCGCGGGAAACGATGCTCCTCCACCTTTGATCCTCATCCGAATTCAAGTATACCCGGTAAGGTTCTCGATAGGCCTCTGCTGTGGGGTCGAGCTGTTTCTGAAGTCGGCGGTCGACATCACTCTTAATGAAATTTGGATACTGATCCAACTTCTCAGCTTTACTTTTCGTGGCATCCCGCAGCAGATCGATGAACTTGGGGGCCCCCTTCACGTACTCGTCGATGTCTTCATTTGACAAATCCAGCGCTTCCATCATCTCTTGCGTGGTGTCGATGCTCACCCTCTCCACGGCCACTTGCTCGAAGATCCAATCCTTCAATAGCACACGAGCTCTCAGAATCGTGCACAAGTCCTCGTATGTCACAATATGGCCGGGAGTCATTTTGGTCTTGTTGAAGACTACCTCACCACGTAGAAGAGCATTAGCCACTGTCAGAAGGTCGTCGTCGTCTAGAGACCGCGAGAAACGCAAGGCGTTGAGCTTCAAATCATTGGGCTTCCGGCCGTCCTCCACACCCATTGAGTTTAGTAACTCCCCGTCATGGTACCTCCTCAGCACATCTACCTATTTGTCAAAAACAATTTTTGTCACGAGTAGAATGTTATGGATGCTGAGTGTGTCATTGACCCCCAGTGTTTTCGAGAGAAGACTCAAGAATTCCTGCAATGGAAATGGCGTGAGGCCACATGCTATGCCACATGCAACGAGGCTTACCTGCCAGGCGCTAGTTGCTAGTGCACATCCTTGTCCTGGTTTTTGTGGCTTCTTCAGTTGAACCCAGAGCTTCCGTGTTTGTGCCAATGTCTCGTGCAGACCCGATTTGTAGCACGTTTCTTGCTTGACATTCTGCGCGTGGGAGATGTATATGATAGATCGGAGGGGCGAGTTGCCTTTTATCAGGCGGACAACTCTTGTCTTGAAGACTTTCTTCACCTCCTCGCCCACCATAATATCCACAACTATCTCTTGCATTGCCAAGCTAGAATGCTGCCCGGAGACGGCATAGAACCGGATGTTCTGATCGTCCAACACCTTCCTATTGATCAAGTCTGGAAACCTCGTCTCGCCCTTCATTGTTCGGTAGTAGGGGATCACGTCTGCGATGTCGGGTGTTACTGGACTTGCCAGCATCTTCTGCTTCAGTTTCTCCACCCACTCATCAGATACTAGTCTGTGGTTGTATTTGCTTTGGATGTCGATACGGCTCACGTCGATTGTATATACTTTGTTGGAATAGTAACAAGTACTATTATCTGCGACGATTTTTGCTGCCTCTTCTTGCTCTTTCTGCTCTTTGCGGCTCTTCTTTTTGGTGGGTGTAGTGTTCGAACCCGAGGCAATGGCATCACCGAGTAGCTTCTTTTTTGGAGGAGAGTCGGACGTCGGCTTGAGCTTGACCACCCTTTTCTGCTTCGGGGTAGTTTCCAGATCGACCCCCTCCCCCTTCGCTTCGTGAACTGGAGGCACTCTCAACGGCTCAATGTTGGAATATAGTTTTTGAACATCGCCGTAGGTGAGGTCCGTGGATTCCATGTGATCTTCATAGACCCGTAGCGTCTTTGAAATTGTGGGCCTCCTGGACAACCTCTCCCTAGCTCCCTCTAGGAATTCCTCATACCTGTTGCCCCCCTCCGGGAAGCCGCTAGGATGTGCAAGGTGGATCTTGAAGGCAGACGCTGTCTCTACAAGTGCCAGTCCATATTCTTGCATGGAACTACATGGAGTGTCTGTCACTTGGATGAGGATCCCCATGCATTCTTTTCTCCCACCATCTGTGTTGTACAGCCTTAGATCCTAGCCTTCCATCCCGAAAGTCCAACTGGTGAGCTCCTCCCCCTTCTCTGCATCCACATTGACAGTGGCTGGAAGAAGAATGCAATTCCTCGCCTGTTCAGAAATGCACAACAATTAGAGCTGACAGATGAAAAGCTAGCAGTTGGAAATAACGTGAGGCCACACGCCATTCACCACTGCATCAGATGTCTTGAGGCTGCATCCTAAGATGGCGTGAGGCTACATGCCATCTGTAACCGGACTGCACTCGAGAGCCCAATCGGTGCATGCCAATGTTGCTACTGAATGGCATGTGGCCTCGTGCCATTTTCTACTTGGCCTAAAAGACTTACCATTTGAAGCCAAATGGAGGCGTGACAACCGGACTCACTGGCGAATGTGCACTGTGTGTGTAGCGGATCGTAGCAGCAAGGCTACTCTGCCACTTACAGTTGGAGAGTGGCGCTGAAATCTCCCGGAATGCCAAGTGGGCTGCGTGGAGTGGGCGGCGGAGTTGGCGGCAAAGTTACAAATTGGGTGTGTCTTGAAGTGGACGCCGATGCACACGAGCGCGATGCGAGCACGAGTGTGATGCAAGCGCGAGTGGACGCCGATGCACACGAGAAACCTATAGAGAAGGTAGATGAGCGCGAATGTGAGCGTGATCGCGAGTGGGAGTGCGATGTGAGCGCGAGTGTGTGAGCGCGAGAACGAAGCAAAATGCAAAACCTAACCTCACACGCGCGAAATGTCACGACGGTTGGTAATCCCGCAACGTCATCATTCCTCGGACTTGGGCACCACCATTAATTTCTGGATCGCCGCGCGCATGCATGCATGTGAAATCCAAAAGAAATCCGCAACGTCATCATTCCTCGGACTGCATGCACGCGAAATCCAAAAGAAAGATCATGATTGGGATATCATTTAATACCCTCGCTATATTTATACCATGCATGATTGGATATTCCAAAGCATCTTGTAT